CCCAACGGGCCCCCCCCGGCCCCCGCCAATGGCCCCTGCTGCACCCGCTGGTGGCTCTTCTGGTGCTGCTTCTTGCTGCAGGTCTTGCTGTACTCACTGCAACTGCAAGGCTCCTCATTGGTGTGGATGCGCTGGTGGCTGACCAGGCTGGCCTTCCAGCTGAAGCTCTTGCCACACTGACCACAATTGTAGGGCTTCTCCCCGGTATGGATTCTCTGGTGGCTGACCAGGTTCCTCTTGTAAGTGAAGCGGTGGTCACACTGGCTACACGCGAAGGGCTTCTCGCTGCTGTGGATCCGCTTGTGGATGGTGAGGGTCCTCTTGTCCTTGAAAGCCTTGGAGCAGTGGGCGCAGGCAAAGTGGTCCTCCCCAGTGTGGATTCGCTGGTGCATGGTGAAGGTCTTCCTGTCCCTGAAGGCCTTGGGGCAATGGGTGCAGGCAAAGGGACACTCCCCAGTGTGGATGCGCTGGTGTCTGACCAGGTCGTCCTTGTGCTTAAAGTGTTGGCCACAGTGGCTGCACGCAAAGGGTTTCTCCCCATTGTGGATGCTCTGGTGGCTGTCCAGGTTTGGCTTGTCACTGAAGCAGCGGCCACAGTGGCTGCACACAAAGGGCTGCTTGCTGTGGGTCCGCTGGTGGATGGTGAGGGTCCTCCTGTCCTTGAAGGCCTTGGGGCAGTGGGCGCAGCCAAAGTGGTGCTCCCTGGTATGGATGCGCTGGTGCACGGTGAAGGTCTTTCTGTCCCTGAAGGCCTTAGGGCAATGGGTGCAGGTGAAGGGACGCTCCCCAGTGTGGATGCGATGGTGGCTGACCAGATGACCCTTCTGCCTGAAGCGGTGGCCACAGTGGCTGCAAGCAAAGGGCTTCTCGCCACTGTGGATACGCTGGTGCACAGTGAAGGTCTTCCTGTCCCTGAAGGTCTTGGGGCAGTGGGCACAGGCGAAGGGACGCTCCCCTGTGTGGACGCGTTGGTGGATGGTGAGGGACCTCTTGTCCCCGAAGGCCTTAGGGCAGTGGCTGCAGGCGAAGGGCTTCTCACCGGTGTGCACACGCTGGTGCCTGGCCAGGTCATGCCTGGAGGTGAACCGCTTGCCACAGTCGGTGCAGCTGAAGGGCCGCCTGATTGTGTGCCTCCGCTTGTGCTTGGTCAGCGTAGTCTGGCTCTTGAAGCTCTTGCC